TATGAAAGAACATCAAAATGAATATGTAAAATTTTCCATTTCCATTTCAGCTCTATACGGTCATCGTTGTTGTATGCTGATTAATAACAATATGTTCTTATAATAAGTGTTATTATTACTGATATTGCTAAATAAAGATCCACATTTATGATTATGATGGATATCTTCTAAAGGTTTGACTATAAATCCATTAATCATCAATGATTGAAGTCAAATCTCTCTTTGTTCATGCTCCTTCAGTTTTGTTTTTTCTCACCCAGAAAATATAAACCATAAAAAATGTTTGTGTTCTCCTTTCATCCCTTGCAACAAAAGTCAAAACCCACAATCCTGCTGCCGACTCCGTACAGCAACCACTGAATCTTGTTTAATTGCAACATCTCACGATCGGCCGTCGCTTCGTTATATCTCAGGTTGGGTGATTAGAACCAAAGAAATGGGTGGGTATATTTTTGTTTGATAGCATTCTTCCTACAGTGTACTTGGGGGTTTTTATGTGTTTATTTTAAAACTCAAAAAACAAAGGAAAAAAGAAACATGGTAAAATATACTCTTCCCATCCATAAAAGAATACAACACTTTCCTTTTCTATTTGTCCCAAAAAGATGCCACAATTTTATTTAAGGAATGAACTTTAGTTTTTAAAGACCCAAATGCCTTCACTTTTCTAACCCTACACTCACTCAATCTAACCTTATCTGGCCTAATTCCCACTACCAACTGTGTCATCTCTAGTTCTTCTCCATATTCTAGTACTCCGTCTTTCTGTGTCATCTTCTCTCTGCCATTTGTGGTTCTTCTCTTCCACGATCTTCCACTTCTTTGACTACCTCATCTTCTCGGCCACCATCTTCGAAATCTATGGGTAGTCAATATTTTCTGGCAGTGAGGAATTTCGTTCAAGATCTAGATCACCCACTATTCGTGGATCTGACTCGAATATTTTGAAAGAGATACAAGGATGAGGCATGTTTTGTGGACTCAAATTTGAGCTTGAAAGTGATGAAGGTGAAAGCAACAAGGTGACATCTGGTTACGACCCTGAGAAATTGGTATACAGAGATTATGTTTTCATGTACAACTAACCCTCCACCAGTACCCATTGATCTTCCTTCATGTGGTATGAATTCTCCTTAAGAACTCATTTTTAATGATGGACACTTGGTTCACATGTTATGAGATTCAGTTTATTTACTTAGGATGAATTTCGAATTCAATTTTCAACACTATTCAGTGAGGCCTTTACATATTTGTGCCTTTCATGCAAAAATAATGTGCATTTTGTATTATCCAATGGTGTGGTATCACGTGTAAAATGTCCAAATTCTAAAATATTTGCCCCTAAGGTGAATATGTGTGTCTGACTTCTGTGTTAACTCCTGATGAAGTCTGTGATGCTTAATGATATGTGCTTGAAGACCTATGATACCTAATTGTGAGTAATGTCAGTGAGCAGAGTGATGCGTAATTTTGTGTTAGGTCTGTGATGCCTAATGTTGTGTGCTTGTTTCTAAGACCTATGATGCCTAATTTTATGTTAACTCTTTCTGAGGTCTGTGATGTCCAATGTTGTGAGCTTCTTTTTGAGACATATGATGCCTAATTTTGTTTTAACTCTTGTTCAGGTTTGTGATGCCCAATGTTGTGTGCTTATTTCTGAGACTTGTGATGCCTAATTTGTGTTAATTTTTCTGAGGTTTGCGATGCCCAATGTTGTGTGCTTGTTTTTGAGACCTATAATGCCTAATTCTGTGTTAACTCTTTTTGAGGTTTGTGATGCCAATGCTGTGTGCTCATTTTTTAGATCTATGATGCCTAATTCCATGTTAACTCTTTCTGAGGTCTATGATGCCCAATGTTGTGTACCTTTTTCTGAGACCTATGATGCCTAATTGTGATACCCACTTCTATCTTAACTGTTTCTGATAAGTACACTACACAAACAGATAAGAAAAAACTTAGTACACTTCAATACATAGGTAAATATTGTTAACAATAATTTGGGGTTTGTATGCTCCCCAATATTTGCACAAAATAACAAAAACGCATTGCAACACCTATGGGGAGTACTTACAAAGCTTGTACAACCCTCAAAATTTTGGAAAACAACCCCCACAATAGTAAAAAAACAGTACCTTATGCACTAAATAAAAATCAAGTAGTACTTGGTCTTTGTTCTGCTATGAAGTTTTTAGTAGCCTCCACAACTTCCATACTAGCTTCAACATTTTCTAACAAATGCCCTAGCCTCTTTAGTTAGTCCTTTCCAATGTGAGGTATTTTATAATTATTCCCCCCTTTTTCTGTAGAATTTGTTCTATCACACACTATAAGATCAAAAAGACTATATTCAACTTTTGTGGGTTTAGTTCTTCAAATACATTTGTCACAACACTATCAATTCTGTAGTGTTTCCTGGGGATTTTTGTTCCTTGAGAGTTTCCAACGATCTAAAAAACCTAGGTTCGATACGTTTAGATCAGGGTTGTTGGGAGGTTGGCACCTGATTGAAATTTGCCATCCATCCTGTCGACAACTCTCAACCTATTTCTGCATCATGAGGGTGCACATACATGAGGATTTGCATTGTCTTGTTGTATGATCACACGCTTATTTTGTGCGTCACGCCATTTGGCCTTAGTAGCTGGTATCACTTTAGTCAGCATTATGTTCTTCATGACTTCCCTAATCACAATTGGGAATGATTTTGTTTCTAAAGTACCTGATGGCCTGTTTTTACTATTCCTTTTTGCTACTTCTTGAAATGTGAAAGAAAAAATGCCTACTTTCCCATTCCAAAGTGTGTTACCATAATGCCAAACCTTGGCCCGCCAACAACGGTTAGGAACATGATTTTTTGTAGGGCTGTCAATGGATAACCGAAACTCCGATTATCATCCGCATTGGTATCCGTTTAAACAGGAATAATCTGCATCCGTTTTAAATGGATATTATCTATATCCGGTTAAAGACATACAATTACTAAACGGATACAGATTTGGTAATTGTATACCCGATTCGTTTAAAATCTGATCCGAATATACATCCATTTAGATAACCGTTTATTCGAATATCCGTTTATCATAAAATCAAATTAATTCTTTTAGTATTTATAAGAATTTATCCAGCCCATTAACCATTGATATTTGGCTCATTACTTCCACAAAGTAATTGGTCGATTATGAATTTGTATTTTTGTTCGAATGATTTTATTTGACTAAGTATTTATTATTTACACAGTAGTTTTTGATGTTGTTAAGTATTCTAGATTTCAACATTCACTTTCTCACTTTCAATGACTTATAGCTTGGTCTAAATATTCATATTTATTTTTATATAAAAAATTGTCAAGTTTTTGAAGTACTTTAAAACATAATAAAATATTATCACATAAAATAAGTATACCTATATTTATAGTAATACGACGTTTATTTAAAAAAATACAAAGTATTACAGTTAGATGTAGATAATTTTTTTAAAAAAATATTAGAACACAACATATATTAAGAAATAACTATATACTCCCTCCGTCCGGGAATGATGTTCCCACTTTGACTTTTCCTCATTTTTAAGAGGGCTGGAAAAAGGCTTTAAAATGTCCAATATACCCTTGCTTTAAAAATAAGGGATGGGGATAAGAAAGAGGAGAAAGTGGCGGATGGAACATAAAGTAAAATTCACTATTTGCAATCATTGGGAGAAAGTGGAAAAAGTGTACTTTACAATCCAAAACACCTAAAAAATTCATATTCCCCCCAATTTTTTTAACTACCCGCCCAAAAATACCCCTAAAACCCATTCAAAATGGGTTATTACATCACTTTAAAACCTCCCACTTCAGCACTTTCCATTTTTAGCAGCCACATTCTTCAAGCATATTCCCCTTTTAGAAACCAGTCACAGCACCCAAATCTGCCCTTCTTCTTCTTCATGCCCTTTTTCAGTTTCTGGTTCTTTTTGCTTTTTTTCCTCTCGTCTTCCCGGTGGCCTGCACGTAAACACGTAAATGAGTTTAGACATAAACTCCAAGAATTTGGAGAACACAACGAGGCAGTTGATTAGTGATGCACTACTAAGTCATTGCAAAGAGAATCTTGATGGTACATTTTCAGCTCAGTATGGACAAATCAACAAACTCGCTTCAGAGTTTAATGTATGTCAAAAAGCAGTCGGCAAGATATGAGCTATTGCAAAAAAACAGTTAGAGGATGGGGTTGCCATCGATGTGAGCAGCAGGATTGCAGGAAACAGTGGCAGGAAGAGGGCTTTCATGGATTTAAAAGTAGTTGCAGACACTCCCCTAAGAAAGAGGACCAATCTAAGAGCATTAGCAGCAGCCATTGGGAAGCCTAAGTCCACAGCTCATGAGTGGGTAAAGAGAGGTATGCTTAGGAGCCACTCTAATTCTATCAAACCGTACCTTACAGAAGCTAATAAGATTTCTAGGTTAAGGTTTTGTTTAGATCAGATAGAACCTCATACCATTCTTAGCAGCCCTAAGTTTAAGAGTTTTCACAATGTGTTGCACATTGATGAGAAATGGTTCTTTATGTCTAAAACCTCCCAGAAATTTTATCTCCTTCCAGAAGAGGAAGATCCATACAGAGCATGTAAATCAAAAAGATTCATAGTAAAAGTTATGTTCTTATGTGTGGTTGGGAGACCACTTTTTGGGGAGAATAGAGAACTGTTGTGGGATGGAAAAGTAGGGATATTTCATTTCACAGAAAAACTGCAAGCAAAAAGGAAAGGCAAGAACAGGGAAAGGGGGGTGGTAGAGGTGAAAGCAATCACCAGTGTTACCAAACAAATCACAAAGGAAATGCTAATCAATACAGTAATTCCAGCTATCCAAGAAAAGTGGCCATCATAGTTATCCAAAATCATACAGATTCAACAAGACAATGCAAGGCCACACATTCAAGGAATAGACACAGACTTTGTGGCAGTAGGTAACAGCAATGGATTTCAAATCACCCTATGTAACCAACCCCCCAACTCCCCGGACTTAAATGTCCTAGACCTTGGATTTTTCAGAGCAATTCAATCTTTAAAAGACCAGTGTGCTCCAAGTACAGTAGCTGAACTATTAGAAGCAGTGGAAGGAGCATATAATGCTCTAAGTCTAGAAACCCTAAACAAGGTGTGGTTGAGTTACCAGCAGGTTTTAACTAAAATCATGGAACATGAAGGAGGCAACAACTACAAACTGCCACATATGGGAAAAGACAGACTAGCAAGGGCAGGGACACTGCCAAATTCCTTGAGCATAGACCTAGCCTTAATCCAGAAGACATCAACACTGCTGGGAGAACAGAATGTGGTTATCAATGCAGACATGGTTGAGTTCAACAATGAAGATGGAGATGAGTACTTCTCTTCAGAGTTGAACTGAATCCAATGTTGTAAGCATCTATGGTTTTGGGTTTTTGTTTTTTGTTAAGAGGTAACCAAATTATGTAACTGGTACCCACATTAGGTAGATTGGTTTTTTTGGTTTTTGCACCTGCTTATACACTGCTATATATGTACTCACATCAAGGTAACTACACACAATCTGCTCTAAATGTAATTTTGGTCACATATAAACAACAACCAACATATCAGTCTCAAAAACATATCCCACATCATCATTGCTGACTTTAGTACTCAGAGGCATATCCCACATCATCATAGTACTTTTGGTCTCAGACAATGCTAGTAGCAGTCTTCACAGACATTGGCCATTGGTACTCGGATCCATTTTCAGATATGCAAATGGCTCATCACAGTACACATTTAACAGATTCATACAAAATGCACATCACAGTATAGACTTAACAGATTCATAGGAAAATGCTCATCACAGTACACACTCTCCACTTAAGAGAAGCACAGATTTGAAATTCATTTCAGAATAAAATTAGAAAGAATTAGAGTGAAAGGAAAGGAACTTCCCTACTTGTACTGTGATGCCCAAAAGTTAGGATCCGGGGTGGGCATTAATATGTTCAGCAGATCGATGTGGAGGTGCATGCATGAGTTCATGGATGGAGAAGTCTGATTCTCAAGAAATTCAGACCCCTCTACATCCTCAAAACTGCCATCTTCCTCACTCCCAATAAGAGAATCTTCCTCAAATTCAAGGACGATAACCATGTTCTTGCCTCTGACCGGGGCAACATCGGCATCATCATCATCGCTATGGATGACGATGACCTCGTCCTCCTCCTTCGCGTCAGAGGTGGAAGATAGGTGAATCACCTCGTCCTCAAATCCAATGTCCTGAAATTCCGCCTCAAGGATGATGGAATCGTAAAGAAAGTAATCAGATTCCATGAATTCAGGCGGAGATGTATAGATCTGGGAGAGGAACGATCGTAATCTAGGGATTGGGAGAGAAGAAGAACCAACAGAGAGAGAGGGTAGATTAGATCTAAAGAGGGGGCGAGAGGGTTTAATTGGGGAGGTGGGTAGGTTGGGTAGATAGGAGGAGTGAATGTGAGGATATTAAATGAGAGGGGTATTTTAGGGAGAATAGAGGAAAAAGCGTACAATGGGAACATCATTCCCGGACGAAAAAAATGTACAATGGGAACATCATTCCCGGATGGAGGGAGTATTATATACTACTTACAAATACCAAACATTTGATTTAGCCTAGATAATTACAACTTTGAATGTGAAGGGTAGAAGTCTTGGGTTCGAATCTTTTTGCCCCCATCGTACATTTTTGTTTTCGGATTTTAACTACATTGATATTTGGCCAGATTTGGATACTTGTTCGGTTTCAGATATTTAATCGGATTTGGATATATCCTAAATAAAAAATTATCCGTCGGTTTCGAATTCGGATATAGAAATGTAAATATCCGTCGGATACAAATACAGATTTGGATATTCCAAAACTTAATCGAGTTTGGATTTGGATATGCCATATCTGTGGTGAATATTATCCATTTACAACCCTATTTTTTGTATGAATTTTTGGGATTGGCTTGATCTCTATGGATCTTCCTCATTTAATAGTGTGCAAAAAGTGGTAGTTTCTTCGGAAAGTTGGAACCATTTCTGATCTATGTGCAAATAGTTATAGAAGTGATGAAATGTTAGGTTTATACCTTATGTGTCGGGCATTATGTGATCTAAACAAAAGTGTTTTTGAGCTTAGTATTGTTGGTCAACAATGGCTTTATGGTATTGGTGTGTTCTCGAATATGCTTCTCTTTAAACATCTTGTGTGTTAGTTCCATGGTGTTGGCTAATATTTTGGCAAAATAGAATCCCATATTTGTTAGATGTTTTACTAGGTAGAAACCTCTATTTGTTAGGAGAGGTTTATTTTATTTAGACTTCTAGAGCTACTGCAGTTTTCGAGGTTGACGCAGAAGATGCTACAGCACAATGCTGCAACACAGTGTGTGGGATCAGAGGTCTGAGCACGGGATTTTAAGCTGCAATTTGAATTAGAGACCTATTGGGATTGTGATTACATGATAATAACTCCAGCTGTACATGCTAAGGAATCCCAACTCTTTAGGCTACTTGTGGATCAAGATTAAGGAAGTAGAGTTCAAGCCAACTTCTACTATCCTATTCCTACTAGGATTGTGTTAAGAGAAGCCTATAAATACGCAACAGGTCCCTGGGAATTACTTGGAGCGATTGAGAGGGAAAATACAGAATATACGCTGATGTAGAGCGTTCCCGTCACGTCCCGGAGCTTCCCATGCGTGAAGAAGGTCACGATCTACATGGAGGAGGAGATTTTCAATGCCAAACAGATCGTGACAACCAAGAGATGAACCAGAGCTTAAGGAGAGGGCTGCCAACATGTTTGTCTTCGTGATCTCGGTGGAGATGTGATAGCCGAAGCGGATCTGAACAGAGTTCGGGTTAGAAATCCTAGATTAGAAGTTTTGTCATAGCAATTCGGAGAAGGGTGTCTCATCATGTTGTTATGTACCGGTGTAACTTGCATCTAGTGATTTAGTGGAGGGCTATTACACGGACGTGGGCCCCGCAGACTAAGAGAATTTGCTCCAAACTGCGTAAACATATCTGGTGTTATTTTTTTACGCTTTTTACAGTTATAGCATTCTGCCCAGTAGGCGCTGTAACACCCTCTGCATCATCTGCTTCTGTGTGCGTGCTTGGGACAGAGAAGTGCTATAGCACACTGTCCGTCATCTGTTACTGTGACAGTGCTGCAGCGTCTTCTTTGCAGCATAGTATATTGATTTGTTTGCATAGCTTTCAATTGGTGATTTCTGCTGCGCCCCCATGAACTTTCATTGTGAACTGTATTTTTTGATATCTCAAGCTGGTATGCAACAGTACACATATTTTTCTTTTTCCAAAAGGGATTTTCAACCAATTTTCCCAAATCACGTGTGATTCCTTTTCTGCCTATATGCCCTTTTAGTTGTGGTAGCACATTAATGGGTAAGCCCACACTAAATTGTTGTTTTGCTTTGGTTTACAAGGTGTGAATGACCCATCTGTCAATGTTGAATTGCCTTGTTAGATTTTGAATAGTCTCTCTCTTTGAAGTTTACCTTACATCGCTTTATCCATTAGTAAATCAACAATGCATTTTCTTTCATCATCTGTTAATCTATGCCTGTTGTTATGCAGCACAAATCAATATATCCTACTCAACGCAAAATTTTTCTTCAAAGGCCTAATATTCTAGAGAAGCATTTAGAGTAGTCGGAAGCTCCGTGCGATTAAAGTTCAAATTACCTCTTCTCAGTGACCATTCGGCCGGCTCTTAGGGGCTCTAGGGGATGGGGTTCATTCTTTCTTTATATATAAAAAGTGGCACAATTATATATTTTGAGATACATTAAAAAAGAAAGTAAGACAATTAATTTAAAACGGAAGAAGTAAAATGAGAAGAATGAAGTAATTCATGTCCATTTCATAATGAGTAAAAGAATATGCGATACATAAGTGTTTGCCCAAGCTACACATGATAGGATAAAGCACGATCAAGTTTACAATAATGTAGTACTACCTCTATCCTAAATCCTAATGTATTTGTTCAGTTTGAATTTTTTGACTTAAACTGGATGAATTCTGGACCTCAATTAAATAAAAATGGTAATAGTTTTTAGTATAGAAATTATTTCAAAATATTTATCTTGTTAAGAACTATTAAAATTTTAATTTGTCGTATTGAGATACAACACAAATTAATAGTAATTGATGATTAAAGTTCGTCCAGTTTGACACGAAAAAATCAAACTAGACGAATACATTGGGACAAAAGAAACATGCATATATGCGGCTCCGTTCTTGAGTCCTAAGCATTGCATCAGCAATCCCAACATATCCTTGCCTAAGAGCCTCGATCAACATTTACTCATCATATTTTCTAATTCTTGACTCAAAAAAGAATGGGGGACACCCATCTTGGGGTGTTCGTGCGCGCTTGTCAAGCTAAGAAGGTCCGCTACGTGTCCACGGACTCCATTCGGATCGACGTCCTAGTTTCAGACCAGCTATAAAAAAAGAACGAAGTGATCAACAAACCACAATATAGTATAATTAAGAAGCATCATAACTCGGTCGCAACAAGAAGCTAAGGTTCCTAGCCCACAAACTCCAAACCTCAATGCTCTTCTAGGTCAACCATTCTTGATCGACCAAGTATTCTTACTCATAAAGGCCTTAATACAAACTTCCATTATATTGTTTATAAAAATTGCTTAGTCATACCGTACAGTAGTACTATACAGTACATAACATGTTCGTTTCATATTATGATACTTCCTCTTAGCCCAAAACGTAACACTAGTCCCCAAGGCAGAAGAGTGTGTTACGCGATGATTATACGGGTTACAATGGACGGGGAAGACAATCGGCACCGGAAGATAATAAATAATATTCTAAATTTATAATTTATTCAAGATATTCCTATTGATTTTAACGCACCAAGTAGAACACACATTTTGGTGATTCCTATTCATGAAAATTTACTTTTATTACATTTGGAAAATATATAACTCAAAAGCTAATACATTAACTCTAATTAAATCTCATATAACTCTCATATCAAAACCAATGCTTCGCTTAATTTGATATATGTATTGTTAACCTAATATGGTCCACAAGTAAGATAATTAATTAATCATAGGACCTATAATTCTATTCCTACTCAAACTAGAATATCTCAGATATTTCTAATCTTACTCATTAATAAGCGAACAATGACAAAATAAACAACAGAGTATAGTCAGAGAGTAGAGGGAGGACTGATATTTCGCGCAATTCTGATTTTGGGAAGGGCCAGGGCAAACTTCGAGCACCCATTAAGTTTTGAATATTTATCCCACGATGAACCATTTGAATATTCACTACAAAGAAAGATATTGAAAAGTAAAAAGTGAAACATTTTTTTTTGGACGGAAAAAAAATGTGGAATCTTTTTCTGAGACGGAGAAAGTATAAAATTATTTCTGGACTTGGATATTTTTATAACACATCTCAATATTTTTACTTCATATATGTTACCTATTTTGTGAACAGATTTTCAGCAACTTGTCGCTAATTTAACATTTTGTTCTTAAACATTCAAATTTACGACATTTATGAGTCCTTTGTTGTTGAAACAAAGATATAAAAATTTTTTGTAATCAAAACTATTTTGTCTCCCATTGATGAGAAATTTTAATAGATTAAGTTCAAGGGGACTACAACTTGGGCAGACCCCAAAGAATGGAATCGGTTTTTATTTTAGTTAAAATCACTACATTGTAAAAGGAGTTCGTTCTAACTCTAAATCAATAAAATACAAAAAAAAGGTAGTTAGCTAACGAATTTAACAATAGTTCCTCTTGTATTTGAATATTTTAACAAAAAATAAAAAGTGCTCTGAATATTGTAATCATTCAAAAAATAACCTAAACAAACAAGTAATTGCTTTAATTTCATTTTTAAAAAATTTTCAGAGATAAATTTGTTGTGATTAATAAAAAGTTTTATATCTTCAATTCAATAATGAAGGATTGAGATAAAACATTCAAACAAAGAAATTACAAAAGACCTTGTGTACATTATTGTTGTTCTCTCAAATGGGAGTGAAAGCAATAACACGTTCACTAGATCGAGAAAGTATAGACAAATATGGCATTGTAATAGCATAAATATTATGCAATTAAACAAAAAGACTAAAAGTTAATTATTTATACACAATTTGATAGAAAGAGCCAAAGTGAGAACATTTAGCACAAATGCAGAACAGGTTGGGTTGTTTTGTGCGACACACAAAAACAATGAACTCATCATTCTGTCAATTTTTTCATCAGTAGATCAATGATGACCAAAAGCACACAACTTTAGTAGTTAGAATTATTTCGGTAACACTGAAAAATGAGATCATTTTGGTAAACCGCAAAAAAGTAAGATTATTTTAGATAGTTCATCCGAGTTCAAATTAGTGAGCAATTCATTCCACGCTGGTGAATAATAAACGTTGTGGTCGGTTAAGTGTTTCAATTTAGCTTAGTGCGAGGAACAAAGAGGCCGTCCGTCACAAACTCGCAATATTTTAGGACAACCAAAAAAAGAAAAAAAATTAAATTTTGTTTTGGGAGGGAGGGTATAATGGTGAGTACGCAGTTTTAAATGTCAGATTAGTAAATTAGTCATACAACATATGGTCCCTACAAAAGGTATCAAAATGATAACCAGAATTGAAGAATGATGATGGGATGGGAGGTAATGTCCAAAAGCATCAGACTGCAGAACCTAAATTAGTGTCATCTATTCCATTCCATTCCCACACGACTTCATAATCTTCAGCAACATCTTCTGTTTTCAAAATAGTAGTATCATCTTTCTTTGTAAAGACAGCTATTTGGGAGGCAAACCCTGGTTCTTTATCGGCCTCCCCTCCAACTCCACTGAATTCAACACCATATTTATGCCTTTTAGCCAGATCAGTTGCCCAGTGACAGAATTGCTCTCTCGTCCACTCAAACTTGTGGTCGTGGTTCCGGAATTTACACGTTTCCCGGTCCTCTTCATCCTCGCTTCGCAGTGCAGACCTCTGGAGAATCGGATTGTATTCGTAATTTGGGGTTGAGACTATAAGAATGCTTGGACGAAAAGAGTCTAGCACAACATCCCCAAATATACAAGCCTCATCTTCTTCCATGTGCTCAATAACCTGAAATTCATCAAACCTTCAACTTTATTATACACACACCCACACTCACATAGATACAGACATACACAAGGATATAAGGATATTGTTGTATGAAAATTTAGGAACTCCACAAAAAAGTCCATGTACACTCATTGATAATTAATATTTTTACAGTTCTCTTTCATGTTAATATTCCTTACTAGCCATCATATAAAGTGTAATGTATTGTACATATTTATATCGAACATTCTGTGTAGCTTTTGCCCCCTTGGCCCACCCCTAATATAAAATTTCAGGGTACGCCTTTGAGTATATTGAGAGTGTTTGGCAGTGCTTTTGGTGAGTGATTCTTAGCTTCTGTGTTAGATAGATGCATATTGCTAATGTTTGTGCGCTTCTGTTACCTGATTTTCAGCTTTTGACAGACAAAAAAGCAGAAACTGATAAGCATCTCCAAGATGCTTTTGGGTTCAATGTTGAAATTAAACACTTTTTCAAAAGTAAAATCAATCCCAAACACCCTCATTTTCTCCTTGGGCTCACTAACTTTTGAAGTTGCACTGTTTCCGCTGCAATTCAATACAGCTAGGTTTGAATCCCATCTCCATTTAGATTCCAGAGTATATGGATCTCTCATGAGGGATTCCTCAAACTTGAAGATAAATAGAGGTATCATTTTAATTCCTTATACTAGAGGCAACAAAAACAAGAATAAAACCAGCATGATCCTAACCCTATTGGGCTCTGGGGGTAAAAATGTACGGAACCTCAATCATACCCCTGTACAACAACAGCCCAGTTGAATCCCACTAGCGTAGGGTCTGGGGAGGGTGTGTGCGCGCAGACCTTACCCCTACCCTAAAGTAGAGAGGCTGTTTCCAAGAGACCCTTTAAAGGCTCAGTTTTCCCTTTTTCAAAATATCAAGTAGCAATATTACTTGCCACTGCATTGGCACACATCCGCACTAAAGAATAAATTTCTGTTTCATCTGTTTGAACTGAAGCAGGTCAGCTTCTGGTCGTGTTTGAATTGAAGCAGCAATAGGAGGGAGATGGAGAAAAACTGCAAAATTCAGAATAGACTAGAAGGGCAAATTGGGAAAGTCAATGTAATTTTTAACAAGCCTAAATAAGTGTGCCAAGTCAACATGGAGGAAGTAATTACTAAGTAGAATGTACTTTCTAACTATAAGCACATTTCTTCCAGAGTTATAGTACGAATTAGACACGCCTTCAATCATAGTTCTTGTGAAATACTCCAAGTAGAAACTGTTTCAAGTTTCAACTTTTCTCTAATTTCCCAGTGTTTAAATTGAGAGTTTCAGCTATACTTGTGAGCACACATTTCTAAAATCTTATATTGCCTTGAGAAGTATTATCAAACTATAGGACTTGTAAAAGTCATTTACTAGTCATGACATAAACACTCTCAAGGGCAGTGCTTTACACATGCCATAGTCTCTACTTTTTATTCTGCCACCCAACGGCCAACATTCTAAAACAAGGTCTCTTATATCCAACAACCTAAGAGTATTTAATATACTCTGTACAGAATGTCTAGGATTGAGTCATTAAATGGTTTCAATTTTAAACGGTCTCATACGAATCATAAGATGATAACCTCATTTGAGATTTTGGAGATTGACTATGTCTAAGAGAAGAAGTTATCCAAGGCTGTTGTATGTAAAGCAACAAGCTCGAGTTTGCCAACAAGCAATGGTAAAGAAACTACCCTGTTAAGCGAACATGAGAATGATAACAAACTTGTATGAAGGTTCCTTCTTAGCCTAATGACCAAAGCTCTGATATGGGAAATTTTGAGAAAGAAATATGAAAGTGATGATTCTGGAATGCAAAATTATGTTACAAGGAGTTCACTTGATTTCAAATGGAAGGCAGAAAAGTTGAAGACTTGAAGCAAATCAAAGGCAGACCTTAGGAATGAGAAATTGGAAGCAAAGAGCTGATAATAGTATAATACACAATGCTACAATATGAGGGTAGGCAACTTGCCAGACCCGTAAGGTAGCTACATGAATCAAGTCCACAGTGATCATTGTGGCAATGATATCTAAGTTTAAACAACACACTTTTGCACGTAAAGAGGCCTTCACTTAGTGCAAAAATCGGAGAACAAGTTTCCATAGGAAACTCAAGTAGCTCAGAAGTGATAGCTAAAGGCAGTGCGCCATTGACTCTTAATTCGGGCAAATGCTTACAATTAGCAATGTGTTGTATGAACCTTCCTTGCTTGCGAACTTAATTTCTGGCTATTTCCCGAATAGAGACGATATTAAGTCGGTTTTAAACTAATGAACTAGTACTCACCCATAATGGGAAATTTATAAGCAAGAGTTGCATCAAAAGAGTGCTCTTTGTCACTTCTTTCTCCACAAGTAATGACATGTAATCTTCTCATTAAAATAAAATTTATACATTTCATTCCAATTTACGCATTGGTTATTTGGTCGTTTGGTTTGTATCTACTCTGTGTTCTACTTTGCCTATCCAACCAAGAGCCTGCACAGCCTCAGGAAAAAGGAACCGCAAAAAGTAACAATATCATATTACCTCCAAACAAGTTGCAATATCAAATCCACGCAAGCGAGAATCAAAGTTTGTTATTGAGCCATAAAACAGAGCAGCATATTTGACTTTGTTAGATGATAGTTTAGTATCAATATTTGCACTAAGCTTTTGATGGATCACCTGCATAGTAAATGGGAATGGGTAAGAGCAAGTGCAACTCAATATGTGTATGTTTAGATGAAACCTACAAAACTTTATTTTTATTTCAAACATCCTACAATCTCATGTTCAATAATTAATACACAGCCAGAGAAATTTAAGGCAAGGAAAAAACCTGTTTTCCTAAAATTAAAGATGTTATGTGTTCATTTTACAAATCTCAAGTTCTGAATTAGCCATTACCTTTTCTCATTGTGCACACAAGCTGCTCTTTTCAATTGAACTACATCAAGGTCATATTAAGTATTACCTCCATCCCAAAAAATGACTTGTTTGACAAAAACACAACATTACATTTTGGCAAAGTAAAACTCATACAAGTGGACAATCATATAAATTTTTCAAGTTTTTATAAGAAGTTTACCATATTTAACATGTTTGGAACTATTTCATAAAAAAATATCAAAACTTAGCATCCTTTCTTAAACAGTTTTGGGTTCATACTTGTATACAAAGTTATCAACTGTCAACTACATAACACAAGTTTCCTACATGTTCTAGTAGATCTACATTCTCACACAACAACAGTTCCTAAACTAGTCACTGTATGACTTATTAAACAACAACATCACCCCAGTGTTCAATAACTCCAACCCGGGGTAAGGGGAGTCTGATGTACACAGCTTGACCCCTATGTTTATAACATAGAGTGGTTGTTTCCAACGACCCATGATGAGCGTTGAAAGTTGCATTGATTAATCGCTACTTCACTATTAAAGAAGCACAAACAGTTAAGAAAGCTATTTTGCTTTATTCCATCATACCCCAAAGCAAAAAAAAAGAGTGAATCTTTGGCTCCACCGGGGATGATGAAATATAGTATGGCTTATGAAGATTCATTGGTTTTAACTGATGCTTTCGGGGTACTACTCTTGTCTAAAATGAAAACTAGTTTGTGTTTATTTGGATGTCATGTTTTTGGAATAATATGAAGTGTTCTGTGTTCCGTAAAGAGAAAGTGGTAAATAGTTATTTGATGAATATACGATGCATAAAGCAACCACTGGGTGGGGTTATCAAAGGGGAATACTTTGTATGTTGCAAACTCAATCCAATGTAAGGTTTTTTTTACTTATCCTTTAGCCATGTATGAAGTCCAAAAAATACTAGGCAAAGAAAATACAAGAAAAAAAATTTCTATCATTTTTTTAAGGAGAAAAACATTTTTTTGGCATGCTCTATTATGTACATCTTAATTTAAAATAATTTTTTTCAATGGAACATGGATATTTCAATTCATTGTTGTTTCATAATATTTTCTACACAAGTGGAACGATTTATGATGATTATGAAGACAGTTTTAAAACTTATATCAGTCCCCTTCTTTAGAAGGTTGAAGATTCTGATATGGATATTTGGTGTAAAACTTTGCAACTATGACTTTTCCATGAATTAAGGTGGTTGATGATGATGCGTTTGATTTTAAAATATCTGATATGAATCCATTGCAAATGCCTTTGAAGTTCTTTATTTTTTTCAGGAGTAAATTCCCCTAATGGTCCTCTACATTCAGAGGTATGCCACATTTAGTACACTATTTTATGAAATTTAATTAGTTAATGTGGGCATTGCCAAACTTAGTCATCTTTCCATCAAAGGTCCTTAAAATGATATGCTAACAAAAGACGAAAAGTAGCAATGTTTCAAATGTTAAGGACCTACGTTGGTATTTAAGGGCATATAGAGACTAAAATTGAAAAATGTTCACAATTAATGTGGACGTTTGATGAAATTTAATAAAATAGTGGATTTAATGTGGAATATCCCTTTACTATTGAAATCATTTGTGAGATTCAGATTTTTTTCATTTATGCGGCTTTCTTAGTCTCTATATATAGATATTGAAATAAATAAATGTGTTTGAACAAATACCTAGAAAGAAGGGGAAGTAGGGGAAGGGGTAGACCTAGGATGAATTGGAAGGAGGTGATTAGGCAAGATTTAGGACTTCTCACCCTGACAGAGGATATGGCTTTGGATAGGAACCTTTGGAGAACTAGGATTAGAGTAGCTGGATAGGAGCCCGATGCTGCAGAGGTTTATTGTAGTATGTTGTGTTTGGTTGGAATCTTTTGCTATTGCTTGCAGGACTCTCATTCTATTGTACTTGGTGCTTTATCTGTGTTATACTGTGTTCCTTACCATATTTTTGTGTGCAGGTTGAGCGGGGGTCTCTTGGAAACAGCCTCCCTACTTCCGAGTAGGGGCAAGGTCTGCGTACACACACCCTCCCCAGACCCTACTGTAGTGGGAATCAACTGGGTTGTTGTTGTTGTTTGAACAAATACTCCCACTGTCTCAAAATAATCTTCATTCTTTCCTTTTTCATCTGTACCAATATAATCCTCACCATTCTTTTTTAAAGAAAAGAATATTTAGCTAAAAAGTTTCTCTTTTCTCATCAATTTTTAACCACTCCTTTTATCACTTTTCAATACTTTTCTTAAACTCTATGAAAGTCAAATGGATAAGATTATTTTGAGATGGGGGAGTATATAAAAGCAAATTCATTGTTTAAACTTTTTCTCTCAAAATTTTCACTCCTTCCTCACTTTCTTCCTCTCTACTTTTTCATCCACACTTTCCTACTTCAAACGGCGTCTCGATTCCCTTGAAGGAAAAATGAAAAGTCATGTTCCATATGTGCAGTTAATTTTACAATATCAACTTCTAACGAGACATGATTATAACTATCTCAAAAATATTGGTTTATCATGATATTGATGATCATGGTTCTAGAATTTCATCTCATCATTAAAAAGGCAATGAGGAGGGAATCTGAAGAAAACATTCTCACTGTTCTTTTTTCATGAATGTGAAGTACTCCCTCCCAAAAATATCGCCACACTTCGAACAACATGAAAAATCCCACCTCTTTTTAGATAACTTTATTTACAAAATGGTATAAAGATAAAAAGTACAAATTACATATTTCAAAACTACATAAAAAATTCTATAAAACAAGATGTGACAAAAATATTTTATTTTATCAAATAATCAATGAAAACACACAAAAAAACAAAAGCCATTGAGAGGCTAGAATAGAAGATATTTATGGGAAGGGGGGAGTATTAAATAATACGGAGTAACAAATAATAAATCAACACTTGTTAATCTCTTCCACCACCAATCCGAACACAATCTAAATTAATATGTTGATGATGATGGCAATTTCAAAAGATATCTTGTAGAATACTGTACCTTACAGATGCATATATCAGGCATAACTGCTTACAAAAAGAGCATGAATTTAGTCAAAGAATTTCTGAAGCAGAACAAGCAAAATATATTAAAATGATTCAGACCTTTGCTGCACGAGCAAGACCTTTACGGGAAAGATCAACGCCAACAATCCTTTCCAAAGAAGATGTATAACCTAACAATGAATCCAATAAACTTCCAGAACCACAACCAAAATCAACCTGCATGCGAGCAAGTTTTTATGTTCAAGCACGTCTCATTCAATAGATCATAATAACATTGAAATACCTTCTTACCAAAGAAGTAGCACATGAATGTCGAATGTGTTGCAATGCATATTCAACACGTTGTTTTGAAAGAGGAGGTTTAAATAAAGCCTGCTCCATTCTGTCCTCTAGGGGTACTGTCACCCGCAGCAAAGTTATGTGACACTCCAGAAAGCAACTTCCTGTTAAGGAAAAAGGGAACATTAGTGTAAATAATATCAGACGTAAATTAGTGAGATCCAAAAGTTAAGTCCAAACTTCATTTTAAGCAAAACAATTATTCTGCCAATATATGTTTGTGCACAACAAAGGATTTACATGGAACCAAAATGAGAATCATGTTCTCATAGTTATTTAAGGTGCGATGCGCACCGATGCACCAAGGGGGTCCGGAGCCTCGATGCGCCATTTATGTGCGCGCATCACGAACATGAGGCACAAGTTATGGAGTAGTAGCATAGTAGCTCTAAATTTAGTAAATTAGCAACAATATATACATATATACATATATACATACATATATATATACACACACACACACATAGTTGTGAAAGACATACGCGTAATAAACTTTCAGAAAGCAACCAAGAATCAAAGTCACATGCAGTACCATTAACATAAAAAACATAAAGTTCAAAGAGAGCAGAAGCAAAACCATTGCAGGGAGGAAGCAAAGTCGATCTAGAGAGAAGAAGCCCTAGCGATAAAGTGGCAAAAGAAACGAAGCCGCAGAAAGAAAAACAGAGATAAGCAGAGAAGTGAAAGTTTTGGCCGAGTCAACCCTAAAAAAAATATAAATAAAAAAACTTAATCCATGTTCGTGATGCACGCATTTTATCGCATCGAGTCACATTGCTTATTGCGCTGATGCGCAGATATGCGCTCGTATAATAAACATCGCCTGCATCACCAGGAAGAATGCGCAGAGCCATGTGCCTCACACAATGCATGCCTCAGGCGCGCTTTTCACAACTATGCATGGTTGTGCACAGAAAACAAAAAGAAAGAACACAACCACAACTTTAACCCCTAACTACCTTGGGGTCGGTGGCATGAAATTCATAGTATCAATAAATAATCTAAAATCAGTTAACATTATAAATTCATTAAAAAAAACAATAGTGATAAATTTAACAGTGGACCCTTCATGTTGCAGCTTTGCTAGTCAGCTACTCCTTGGAGTAGAGGTAAGGCATGCATACATCTTCCCCCCAGACCCTACTATTGGGTGGGAAACACTAGGTTGGTTTGTTTAGGACACACTAGGTTTTACCTTCCAGGCACAACCTTCTAAAATCAACATACATGGGCCAAAGTCATATTTAAAAAAAACATATGGTAATTTTGATGTTTTAATGCACCTGTTGACAATAATGTAACAATGGTTGCAGAATTAACAGCTGCACCTAGAATGTACTCTTCGGGAGGTAACTCCATTTTAATCGATGCAGACTGACCAATAGACATCTGCAGAACAACTGTCTCTAGAAGAGGGAAAACAGCACCACATCCAACCTCGAAATCAAACTCTTCGCTACTCTCAATAAGTTCCTTAATGCTTTTTCCTTCCACGACCACAACCAAAGCTATGTTATAACTCAAACAAACTATACAACCAGTAGATGGAGTAACTCCAGAGTCCTGATCGTCTATCTTGGAAAAACATACATTATCTCCCAGTTTGTTATTCTGTTGATGCATATACTCACAAGCCAAGAAACTATGAGAAGTTGCTCCAATGCTCTGGAACTGGTGATGCGTAGATAGGCATATCCTAAACTCTTTTAGAAACTGTTCAGGGTAAATAAGGATATCAAGATCTTTGGAGGCAGAGGTAACAGCTTCTGCAGACATATCAAGTGTATCAAAAAATAAAGTCAACCATGAAAGGACTTTCAAGGCAGAAGTCTCTATTGCATCAGCCTCTTTCTTAAAAGACTCCTTTGGTGAGCACTGTATAATCAAATCCTGATGCTTCGATAAAATCTTGAGCACACACTTGTATGATAAAATTTGTCCTGTTGATGCTCCATCAAGATCACTTCCATTTCTTTTCGCCCCACCCAACCCAGTTGATCCCTGTAAGACAGGTTGTGATTCTAGAGAATTGCATAGAAAGACAGGTTCAGATAGTCGATGCTGGCGGCAGAATACAGAAAGGATTTCTTTTGGAAAGGAACCTTTCCAATTGCTTCGTGTTGTGAACATTGTAGGCAATTCTGCTGCAACTAATGCTTCCCTTGATAACTTGTAAATTCCCCGAGGTATCTTTTTGGCAAGCAACCTGTAACAGAGAGAGAAAACAAAAATTGAAAAAGATAAATGATCAGATATGTTAAGGTATAATTTGAGATGCAAGAAGATTCATCCTTGTGTGTGGCAAGGCACACAGTCTTCATATATATCTTAGATATGCAAGTAAAAATTGACTTCAGCAGAATTAGGTGGATATAAACTGGACAAAAGACAACTTGGGTACCTATAGTATGTACGTAAGGACACAGCTTCATGACAGAGATCAATAGACCTCCATGTGTACCCCAGAGAGGCCAAAATCACATCACCACATATTTCTTGACCAGATAAGTAACTTGCCCTGACATTAAATTCATTTTCACAAACACCAGTTTGATTGGAATGACACTCAGAGGATTGGCAAAGTGTGATAGCATTGGAAACAGAGTAATATAATCTTGTCTCTGATGAAGCTCTACCAATAGGCCTGCAAAGCAAAAACGCTTTATTGAAACAAAAATATCATCAGGTGCATGGAAGAAAAACTTCTATGCAACACCAGTTCCAGAGGCTGGTGTAATCGAGGACTTGTCGTCCGGGCATTTTGGAGAGTGCGACTTGAGTGTCGCCTAGCGACTGAAAGAGACTAGTTGTCCGGTCATTCAAATCGACGTCTGGGCAACGCCTAGTCACCGACTAGTCAATGTTTGAAACCCTACCCTATTGTACCCAACCCGACCCAACCCAAATTTCATTAAATTTTTATATGTAAAAGGATTCATTCGCTCCCACACATCGTAATGACTCATCCATCACGCTATCTCGTCACGATTCGTACGGCATAACATCATCATCAGCTTAAAGCACAATCACATCCTAGTCACATTAACCTAGTGGGCAGTCCACTATCAGGGCCTATCAATGACATTTTACTGTTCATATGTTGTTCGCGGTGAGGAATGTCTTTACGTCGTTAGCATATTCGTTTTGTTCTTCTACTCAAGTCTCTCGTCTTTCTGGCACCCAATCAAGGCACACTCATAGTAGTGATTGGTTTGAGCAGTGTGTCGTTCGTGGTTTCCCTCTTCCATTGAAAGAGTCATTTTGTTTTATTCTAGCATACCCCAAAGCTTAAAAATAGTGAATTTTTTTCCCATTTTGCTTTGTATGTATGTGTGTGTGTGTGTATACACAAACATACGCATACTGACACACACACACACACATGCTTAAAATCAAATTTCATGAATCAACACCAAAGTGCTAGAAAGCTCACCTAGAAATCAGAAGCTTAGAAGCATCTCTTAATCCTAGTTCATATGCAATAACATCCAGGTAATAGCCATTGAAAGATACATTAAGGGTCAAAGGCTCTACATCCTTCTTAACTGAAGATGGAACACGTATCACCTGAACTGGAATGCTTTCAACCATACTAGCTTCCGATTTTGATAAAGGCTGCACAATCTCAGGAGAATATGCATTCAACCTCTTAAGTGAAAGGTGGTCTTCAGACAAGATCAAAGAGCCAGATAACTTTTCAGCTGCCCTAATAATTTGTTCTATTGCCAACAAAAGACTTGAGGCAGCCTCCGGTTGTATGCATTTGCACAAACTACAAACCTTTGCATCATAGGCAGCAATTGCAGATACTGGAAGAAAACCATGAAAATCACCCTTTCTATGTAGTGCAGCTCTTAAATGACAGCTAACAGGATGCTCTGAAGAAAGAAACTTCAGCAAATGAAAACAAGAGGGTTAGCAAATGCAAGTCATTATCTTTTATTATATGAGCTTGATAATATGGGAGAACAACAACTACAATAAAATCATCAGCCCACTTCTCATTGTTTGTGTGTTTGTTTGTTCTTATTGTATCCAGCAAGTTTACAACCAAAGTTGAAAGTGGTGCCACTAGCAGTTAAATTTGAAGCACGTTGAAGTGACACTAACATTTTATTTTCCTTCACCAGTTCACCTACATCAAACATCTGAAAATAATATATACTCCCTCCGTCCCACTATATTTGTCCACTTTCATTTTTGCACACCATCCAATGCATTTCTTTAATCCATTTTATCTTCTAATTTGTATATTAAAAAATTATAGAAATTATATATTAATAATCTATATGTTAAGACAAATCAAACAAGATCACACCTGACTATATTTAGGCTTACACATTGAGAGAATTTGATGAGTCAAAGTGCTTAAATGAACAGTTCCAAAAGTCAAAACTGGACGAATATAGCGGGACGGAGGTAGTAATAAACCGCCTACCTCATTTGAGAACAAAACTGACAGCCAACTGACCAATTGATCCCATGCCTTCTCCGGGGTGATATTGTCTTCTTTTGGGTGGATGCCGAGCTACAGAAGATGAAAGATATGTGAGCGAGAAAGGATCTTAACACTGGAAGAATAATAGATAGATAGATAGATAGACAAATAAAGTATACGGGTGGGGTGGAGAATAGGAGACTATGTCCAAAATAAAATGACAATAACCAACAAAAGATATGTATTTCAATTCAATTATCAATATGTAGTCAAAGAGAAAAAATAACTTGGAGCATCTCATCTTTGTTTAGATAGGGAAAACACGCAGTTATAATATGCTGTTGTGAAGAATTGATGTTCCCATCCTTCAATGGCATACCAATCTCTCAAATAAGATGTAATCATAATAGTCTACACTAGTAGACTGACAACGTGGAAGGTGAACCTTTGACCTCCAGAAATGTTCGACCTCAAAGAAAGCAATATCATACGGATCTAGCACCATACACAAGGTTAAACTGTACTTTCAAGATGCACTCAACCAGTGTAGCACTCAAGAATGTAATGGTGAAAGGTACAATTATTTTCTCCAACTCTCAAAGCCTACAAGTCCAGCTGCCTTTTTACATCTCAATGAGTTCTCATTCAGGTCACAGGTCAAGACTAGTAGGCTTGGCCTATGCATTCAAATTTTGCGGATACCTGAACAGTTAAAGAAACAAAGAAATCTAAGAAGGATAAATGTCTTTAATTTTTGTCCAAGATGATACTATTTGTGGTCAATCCTTTAATTAGGACCTACTGCCAGCATAGAATTTCCGAAGTCTTGAAATTACAATCTTTATTGAGTTGTATATGAATGATAAGTGTGTCCAACTTTATACTTTAGCTAGACTGGTTTTGATTAAAGGAATGATGTCTAATGTTATTAACTCAACTCTATTCAAGAAAGACTAGTCAAATTTGCATTTTTTTGAGCTTGTTTACATTTTAAACAATAGACTCATATTATATCACATCTGAAGTTCTGAACATTTCAAATTCTTACAAGTCCACAAAGGAGTATGAATAGGCCCAGCTCACTCCAACATAACTATGATTCAGAAAACTGATGTTTTACATTAAGGAGTAACTAAGACCTAATCTGATTAGATTTCATTTTTATTACATGAATAATGTTGCTCACGAGTCACAAACGACTCAATGTGTTAATAAGTGTCTCAGTTTCTTGAGAGAATAAACATGAATATTGACTAGTAAAGCAAAACAAAGTATATAACCTTTTCAATGGCTTTCTCTGCAGCAGATTGTTCGGCATCCTTCTTCCGTTTACAGATGTCAGAGAGAACAGAAAATTCGGGAAGCTCCAGAGTGCAGCGGTAGAGAGAAGGAACTTTCTGCAAAATGCCTAAACCTGCGCTTCCATTTTGACTGCAATCTTGGACTTCCTCTACTTTGTACGTAGCTTTAGCACCAAACCTCTGGTTTATTATAGACTTAGGAGCAGGAGGAGGCTTTTTAGAGACAATGACAGAAGAGTTTTGGGTCCCCATTGTTTCGAAAACACCTAATTGTTTTCACTAATCAACTGCTCATTTGTGTCTCTGAATATTAACTTCCTGCTAGGCGATAAAAGAAATTTAACCAATCATAACCTGCAAAATAATCAAACATATTCAAGTTCCCCGAGTTTATAGGCAAATTCTACTTGCTTAAGGCACGCTTCAAGAACACGAGGCGTAACGACGAAAAACGGACCCCAAAAAAAATGAAAAATCACAGCATGATATCAGCCATGAGTATGACAGGCCAAAAGAACTGAAAATGATTCGGAAGAACCTTAGCTGCTGTCGAGGTCGGAGGTTGCGCTTGAGGAATGAATGGCGTAGCCCAGTGTGCCGAGGACCGAGGTAATCTAAGAAGAGGAACAGATGTAGTCAACGGTCACTACGTCGTGAGATTCCTCATAAACCTTTGTGCTTTTGTAGAATATATATACAGAAATGGGCAAAACCGGGTGTATAGAAAATAAATTCTCTTTTAAAAAAAAAAAATTAAGTTATGCTAAAACATAAATATAGTCCATTAACCCTACTTTAACCCTGTATTTTACTGTATATATACTCTTTTTATCCTTTTCTTAATTTTTAGTTATTGACTTCCCTCTCTTTTCTACCAATTTCTTGTCCCTCCATCTTCTTCGTTTCTCTCTCTTCTTCTCTTAACGTCTTCTTCTTCAAGTTCATTTTCAAGTTTCATCATCCATCTCCAATTGTTCTTTCGCTTCAATCCTTAAATGTGGTTGTGTTAATCTCCTCGTGTTGATTATCCTTCCTCTTCAATTATCCCTCTTTGCCACCACCAATCGTCCCAGTTTCACCACCACAAATCATCCCTCTTCGCCATTAGGTTGCTCGATCAAGGTAATTTTTTTCTTTTCCTTACATTTCTATAAAATAGGGTTTTATTTTTTAATAGATTTTTTACTTTTTCCTAACCGTTGAGACAAATGAAAATTGTGTATTAATGTATGTGAATCTGCATGGAAGACTATATTTAAATTCTAAATTCTTAGTCTTGTTCGTTGTCTGTATTAGTTGTCTCCATTAATGTTTGTGAAATTCTTTTATTACTATGTAAATTTTTTTATTTATTGTATGTGAAATGTTTGTGAATTTTTTTGTTAGTTGTCTCCACTCTCTTCACTGATCTGAAGCCACCCCTAAGTAGTATGTAAAAAATTTTATTCGTATTGTTCGTAGGCAATTTCAGAATGGCTCTACTTTTACGGGAGGATTGCTTCCCTGCACATTACTCAGTTTGCTCAGATATCCAAGAGGCATTGGATATGATATTTTCGAAGTTGCCCTCAGTGCAATTAAAAGCCTTCAAGAAGACATCATTAATATTTTGACGATAAATAAACGCAAAGTTATACACAACATTTTTACACACAAATAAAATGTACGAGAGGCGATGACATCATTAATATTTTGATGACACTCATCATTTATATTTACTTCTACTCCATCCCTCAATAAGCTAAGGATCAAAGTCCCGCTCATCATAACCTTATCGTGCATACTGGGTTGAACATCATCCCTGATCACGACAATGGACGAAGAACCATCAATCATGGCAATCAAAAGCTCACCATCACCTTGTAAAGGAGCTGCAAAATAATTTGCTAAGTCAGTAAAAATTAATAGTATTTCATTTTGGTTCTTGCATAGACACATGAGCAATAAACCCCTATATTGTTATGTTCACAGAGAGTCAGTGGTTATGTGTCCAGGTCCAACAAAGTAACAAACACAAAGTTATACATAAATATACGTACCAGAAGAAGGGAGTATATATTAATAACATTTTTTGGACCAATATTCAAAAGATTTCTTTCATGACTTAATTTTCTCTATTCTATAAAAGTATTTTATCATATACTTTTATTTATATTTATTTTATTTTATTTTAATTTTTATTAAAATAAAAGAATCGGTATAAAATTAATGAACATAAAATGAGAAATGAGCTTTAATAAAAAAGAGAATATTTTGAACCAATAAAGACCTCTTTTGGACGAAAAAATGTTTAATTTGAGACAAATGAGGTGTATGTTAATTCTTGTTATTTAATTGATTTTTATTGCAAACAAAAAATAATTGATTATTAAAAAATTATAAAAAGTAATTTTAAAAAAGAGATTAAAAAAATTTATGAAAAAAGTAGTAGAAAAAAAAAGAAAAGCAATAAAGAAAAGATGGGGCGTTTGTGCCAATTTCCAAAACTATAGGAGGGAATGGAGTTATTCACCTAATATTTAAAGGATACTTTAGTCTAGAGGGGCACTAGCGTAGGAATATTAGAACCGTGAAGGGGCATGGTGCAATAAACTCTACTTTCTACAATACAGAGTTCGTAGAGAAGAAGCAACACAGTTGCCATGACCTTGTCGTTGTCCATTCTTCACGTTCGTTGACTCATTTTGTTTGGATCGTTCTATTCTTTTTTAGGTAAACTTATGGACATATCTATCGCTAGAGTATGCATTTAGATTGAGTCTACATTTGTGGACCTAGCTAACGTTAAAATATGCAATTTAGTGGCATGTGTGGCTATGACACTGATGATAGTGTGGATTGTGGGGCAACGAGTGCAGTGCCACGCTATGGCGTCAATAGATGAAAGTGTAACTTCTAACGACGTGACAACAATCAAGAATGTTATATCTCGATATATTTTTATTTTGTTTTTCGAAATTGAAAATAAAATTAATTGTTTGATATTGTGTATACTTGTCTTGATATTAGATAATTACTTCTATTGAAGTTGAAAAATAATAGTAGTCCTATTTAGGGATATTAAAGCTCGTGTACTCCTATTCAGAGCTGAGGCTAGTAAGGCGACTGTGAATGCAATTGCAGATTTGTAGTCATTGATTTCTAATTTTTTAATGCGATTATGTAGGCGCAATATATACCGTACAAATGGTTGTGCGGTGTTTCTCGTACAACCACGGTAGGTGTCCATTTACGAGTAACTAAGGCTCTGTTCCGTTCAACTTATTTTTTCTGATCTGATCTGATTTTTTGTAGTTCTGATTCTATTACTCGAATCAGTACATAGTTACTCGACAATGAGTATTCATGCAAACCTACGAGATATACTTTTATTACTTTACACCCGGATGTATGATATAAGTACTTATTCGCAAATAACACTTTTATTATTTTATGTAAGGGTTCTGCCACATCCTAAGTATATGCACCCACAAAGAACAAAAACAACTCTTCCGTGTCGGTCAGTTTGCACTTTTACCTGAAGACGGGGTATCTAATTTCTCACATTGTTGTCAAATTTTTTTTATCCTAAACTTATTTTAGAGTTTATAATTTCCCAAAGTTTTATTTTAAATATGCGGAGTAAATTTAAAATGTACTCCGTCTTTTTTTTTAATATGTTGATTTGTATGAATTGAAATGCTTTGTGTCGGATCAAGTAGTTGTGAACGATTTGAATAATTTTACGAAAAATGAAAGCTTTTATATTCCCTCCGTTCCAAACTAATCTTTCCAATATAGGCTTAGTGGGACCAACAATCCTTGTAAGACATCGACTCATTTTGAGTGGCCTCGTAAGACATCAACTCAATTATGACACTTACGGTGCTCCACTCCCAAAATGATAGTTTTTACCCTTTCTAACCCCCATTTTGAGTGGCCCATTAAACCCGACCATTCTTCGGCAAGTAAATATGAATAGTTGAAAAGTTGGTTGAGTTTAAAAATTGGTAATGAGCTTTTGTTTCATTGAAATACTGTTTGACATTTTTGTCAATCTGCTTCTGTTTATAAATTATGACTTCTGCAGTTTAAAATGAGTTCCAGATGTGCTTTTGAGCAAAATTCAAAATATTTACTTTATGCTTCTATTTAAAACTTCTACTTTTCAATGATCCATCATACTCTCAAACACCCTCTATGTCTCATATTTGAATGTTCAAAACAAAATATACAGTGTGTAAACTTTAAAAAACAAACACACACAAACCAAAAATAACCGAGATGGTCCGGTCAAGAGCAGCAAATTAGGAACAAGGAGTGAATCCTTAAGATTAACTCTAGTCGGAAAAAAATGGTTTTCATGTCTTTATAAAACTGGTTCGGCCACCATTCTTTACATCCTCACTATATGCCTTAGGGTGGCTGTGGAGGGGCACCCAGGATGAGACGAGGGATAGCAAGAAATGTCAAAATTGGCAAAGAGTTGTACCACATACTGGACAATTAAAAACTCAAGTTCTTATGAGTAATTAATTGCAGGGTAGCAAAGTTTATGAGGCAAGGGAAAAGAGTAACTTCAAGCTGCTCAAAAATTTCCTGCTTTGGAGGCAGAATTCAAAGACTAAAAATTATTACCTAATAATGGCAGGTCGATTAGACAGCCGTTTAGATTTGCGCTCAAATGATCGTTTGAATTTGGGCATTTCTGTTGACAATGCATACATCTTCACGCCAAGTAATCCAGCAGGGAACCCCGTTTGATCCTGAAATAGATTGAGTTTACCATCAGATCATAGTAAACTCCACTTCAAAGTAGATAACCCAGTTTTAAACCCGTAAATGCAGATTCACTTTTTGTTACCGCATGATTCAGCTATTTTCCGGTAGAGGAAAAGAAAATAATTGTTTAATAAGAAATCCTTTTTTAAAATGAAGAGCTATGATACACCTCGAGTAAACATCACCAACAATAACGACGCAATAAATGTACACAGAACTTTTATCCCTATTGAGCAGGGTAGATGTTATTTCCGCAAAATGAACCAAAAACTGGTTAGACTTATTAACGAACCAAAAACCCGGTAAATTCTTAAGTGCAGGCTGGTTGTTGTATGCCACTTTGTTGTGTTTCATAATTGCTTGGTTGTATCTCATTATTGGCGAGTCTATGCTTCATAACATTTAAAATGTGTTCACCTATTCATACTGTGATTTGATTTCGCATGCAACTGCTTAAATGAAAGCTATCAGATTCTGCAGATCGTATCAATCAATTTTTTTTGCAGCGTATGACATAATAGGCAGAACAAATCACATTGAAATGGAGTCAAAGTGTCATAGATTTCAACTACAAAAACAAACTATTTTGACCTAACAGATGTGATTTGTGGTTTTCAAATAACAAATATAAACTTAACGTCATAAATCATATGAGCATACCTTTGTCTTGTAGAGGTAGAGTCCACATTTAAGAAAGAGCTCCTTGAAATATTTGTCCGACCTGGTGATGCTCTTATCTTTGTTGTCCAAAACAAATCCTTGAAACGGGAAACCCAGCAAGTGGAATGCAGTAAATTTCCATTTTTTCCCAATTACGAGGCACAAAAAAATTTACAAATATAGAAACACATGTTTTTGGAACAGACAAAAAGGATGGTTGAAGGTCTTTTTGAAACAAA